TCTTTAGCCGGAATTTGGTCAACTTTGTGAAATACTCGTGGCTCTGGCTCGGGATGCTCGTTTGGTTCAAGAGCATCCTCCTCAATTAACGGCTCGGTTTCTAACATTGTTTCTGGAATCACATCTTCAGCTAAGACAACGGGTTCCTTGTTAGATGTATTTGATCCCTTTGACTTCCTTCGTTTGTTGGGTGGCGGTTCGATCTCTGGTTCGCCACGGTCGCGTGCCGCTGCTCGAGACCTTGTAACGACGAGGGTTTCTTTGCTGTCTTGAATGCTTCGCTCCGAAATGCATTCCACTGGAATAACTCTTTTCAACTCAGGATCTGATGTTGATGCCAATGCGGCAAGTGCATCCGCAGTTGTATTCTCTCCCCGAGGTATGCGGATTAATTCGAATTCGAGAAATTTTTAGATAGATCCTTCACCACTTCGAGGTATGCTTCCATTCTTGAGTCTTTGGCTTCATAGTCTCCATTAAACTGGTTAACTACTAATTGCGAATCGCAATAAGCCAATATTTCCTTAGCTCTAACTCCTTGTGCTAATCGAAGTCCGGCAATCAGGGCTTCGTATTCTACCTCGTTGTTGGAGGCATTGAATAACAACCGGAATGATTGTTCTAGAATTTCTGATGTTGGAGACTCCAACTTGATTCCCACTCCGGATCCTTGCTTTGTTGAAGACCCATCTACGTGTAATTTCCAAGTTTGGTTCTCCGGTTGCTCTATCGTTCCAGGTATTGGTAGCTCGGTTAAGAAATCTGCTAAAACCTGAGCTTTCATATTGATCCGGCTTTTGAATTCTATATCGTACTCGCTTAACTCCACCGCCCATTTCGCCAAACGTCCGGACTGACTTGGACTATGAAGTATTGTTCGGAGTGGTTGGTTGGTTAATACTTCAACCGGATGGGATTGAAAATATGGGCGCAGTTTCCGAGCCGAAATTACCACCGCGAGTGCAAGTTTTTCCATCATTGTGTATCTGGTTTCCGGATCCGTCATTGACTTGCTTACGTAGTAAATTGGTTTCTGCTCCCCACGGTCTTCCCGAACCAAGACTCCACTAACCGCGTGGTTTGAAACCGACACGTACAAATAAAGTTTTTCATCTACTTCTGGGTTGGTCAATATAGGTGGAGTGGTTAAGTATGCCTTAAGCTGCCCAAAAGCTTCTTCACACTTCTCATCCCAAAGGAATCCTCTGTTCCCTTTTAGAATTTGGTAGAAAGGTAGCGACTTATCTATTGATCTCGAGATAAAACGATTCAAAGCCGCAATCCGCCCAGTCAACCGTTGTACTTCTTTGAAGTTTCTTGGAGATGGCATGTTTAGAAAGGCATTAATTTGATTTGGATTGGCTTCAATCCCTCTTTCTGTCACGATATAACCAAGAAATTCTCCGGATGGGACTCCAAATGTGCACTTCGCCGGGTTCAGCTTCATTTGATATTTATTGAGAATATCAAAACATTCCTCTAAATGCTTAACGTGATCCTCTTTCTTTAACGATTTAACCAACATATCATCTATGTAGACTTCCATTGTTTTCCCGAGATGATTATGGAACATGCTTTATTGAGGTCTGTGAAGTCGATGCAAACCCTATCTTTCCCATTCTTCTTCTTGACAACGACAGTATTTGCTACCCATTCCAGATATTGTACTTCTCTTATGGACCCTATCTTCAAAAGTTTATCCACTTCGTCATTTACTATTTTTGCTCGCTCCACTCCAAGCTTTCTTCTTTTTTGTTTCACCGGTTTGAAGCTTGGATCCACGTTTAGTTCATGACAAATTATACTTGGATTTATGCCAGGCATGTCCGCTGCTGACCATGCAAACGATGTTTTGTTTTTCCTTAAGAGTTCGATCAAAGCTTCTTTTATTTGGCCAGTCAAAGTTGCCCCAATTCGAATTTTCCGGTCCGGCTTGTCTTCTTCCAACACCACTTCGATTACTACATCATCTTTCTTCTGCCCGTTAGGAAATTTTGTTCTTAGTCCCTCTTTTGCGGGCTTCGTTAATTGCTATTGAATCTTCATACGGTGGCTAGCTAGATAACACGTCTGTGAAGTTTCTTGATCACCCCGAACTGTTTCCACTCCTCTTGATGTTGGAAATTTCATACATTGATGATATGTAGAGGGGACTGCTTTCATTTGATAAATCCAGGGAGTACCGAGGATGATGTTGTAAGCTGCGGGCTTATCGAAGACAACGAAGTCCACGATCTTCGATACCTTTTTGGCGAGGACCGGTAGCTTGATTGTCCCGAGAGACATGGCTGACTCACTTGTGAATGCAACTAATGGAGACGGAGGCCCCACTATGTCCGCCCGACTAATTCCCATTCTTTCTAAAGTACTTAAAAAGATCAAATCGACCGAACTGCCTGTATCTATAAGGATCCTTGATACTTCGAAGTTGGCAACGTCAAGGGTAATGACTAGAGCATCATCATGAGGTCTTTCGAGGTACCGCGTTTCTTCTTCATTAAATGATATTGATGCACCTTGAAAATCGACTTCTTCGCTTAAGCTTGCTTTGAGTAGGATATTTCGTCTATGTTTCTTGATGGAACTTATCGAATCTCCGCAAAATTTGGAACCTCCTAGAATAACATTGATCTTACCCTTAGAATTCCTTGGTTCTTCCTCGTTGGTTAACCTTGGTCTTTTGGAATTTTGATCTTTGGAACTTTCCTTTGCTTCGTGGTATTCCTTCACAAAATCTTTTATATCGAATTTGGAAAGATCTCCACTGGCCCAAAGTTCTGCGAGGTGCCTTTTAAGAACGCTACAATCCTTGGTTAAATGTCCGGTTACTTTATGAATGTCGCAATATAGACTTTCATCACGGACCCAAGTGTTTGATCTTCCTTTCCCTTGGAATTGCTTTCCGACGGTACTGTTGAAGGGTTGCGACCCAAATTTCTTTGGTCCTTTGTTCTCCCTGGGTTCGAACTTTTTTGTAGGGACGGTGACTGCCGGCTTCTCTTGCTTATTTCTTTTGGCAAAACTTTCTTTTTCGTCCTCTACCTCCATCCAGTTGTTTGCGCGGAAGAGTGCATCCTGAATTGTGTCTGGTTTATGAAGTATTAAGTCTTCTTTAAACCTTGAATCATGTCGCAATCCTTTTCGTAGGGTAGATAAAGCTGATTGCTGCGAGATTCTTGGGAGCTTTGACAGCACTCCTTTGAATTTGGTGATGAAAATTCGAAGTGACTCATTAGATCCTTGCGATAAGTTCCAAAGATCGGCATCCAAAACGCTTTTATCCATAAGGATGGAATATTGCTTTAAGAATACGGCTGATAGTTCGTCGAAATTGCTGATCGAACCCGGCTCTAACTGGGTGAACCACATTAGAGCTTGGCCACATAGATTTTCCGAGAAAAGCTTGCAGTAACCTGCGTCCTCGTCAGCTTCATCCAATTCGACTCGTCCAGCAGCTATCAGGAAAGCTGCGAGATAGCTCTTTGGGTCCTCTAATCCGCTGTAAGGGTCCAACTTGAGTTTCCGGGAATCTTTGATCCTCAAACTTGCAATTCGCGAGATGAAAGGTGTTCGCCTAGCTTCTTCAATGACTCGATTGATGTCTGGCTCCGAACTTGTAGCTTGATGAAATTTCGATTTCATTTCTTTTAATTCCTGGCTAACCTTCCTCATGGTCTCGAACTGGTCGAGGTTCTCCTGCTCGTATTGAGCTGCAAGTTGTTCTTCATCTCCGAGCTGTGTCTCTTCTTCCAACGTCTGAACTACATTATTAGTAGCACCGGGAGTTGTTTGTCCGCTGGTTTCATTTCGTGCAGCGGAACTTGGCGAGTTGAATATCCCTCTTCGGATTCCCACAAGGTTTCCTGCACTTAAAGAGCGAACACGAGTTTGTATAGTATTGACGTTTTGACTAAGAGATACCTGGGATGTTTGCAACGTATCGACGGCTTTTTCCACATCCGAGAACTTTTGTGATATGTCCGACATGGTCTGCTGCATAGCTTTGAGGGTTTCGGCCAATGATGTCTCAACGGCATCTCCTCCGGACATTGTTGCTTATCTCGGAAGTGTAATAAAGAAAAATCTGACCACTCAAGAATCCTATGTTGTGGATGTCGGATTCACACACTCAAGTATTTTATTAAGTAGGAAAGATTATTCTTGAGGGACAAAAATGAATATGTAAAAAACTTATAAATTGCTACGAAAATTGCTATAGTATTTCTTTCTTTTTGAGGAAGATCCCCCTTTCATGGCCATTGGCCTTTGTATTTATACATAGGAAAACGACATTAAAATGGCTAATTAAGTATAATTATTCCCTCTTAAATGCGTCCGTTTTGATCTTCGGCTTTAATGCCTCAACGTTTGAATTTAAATTGACTCTGATCTTCATGGGCCCCGCCTTTTGGCCCAAATGTCCTTAAACCGACTTACCCGTGTCTTCTACACCGAACTCATGTTGAAGCGCAATCACTTCGGATTCTTGAAGTGGTGATAACCACTTCGACCGTTCCTCCGGCTCACGGGTCCAATGGGCTTTATCCTTTATGGGCCATTATCTTGTCTTCGTGGCAATCTTTGGTTGGTCTCGGACTTCTGGTGCGGGATCCGACACCAACAATTAGCCCCCCAAGTTCTTCGAAGTGCTATTCCAATTCGGAGGACTTTAAATGCTTAAATGACCAAAGATTGCGTTCCGAGGAATCTTCTGATTTCTTCCCGCCAAGATCCCATCAGTCCTTTAATTTCGGCGCTACCCATATTTAGTTGCGTGACATCTGTCACCATTATGACCGTATCTTAATTATTTTCTATTAAAACGGGAAACCTTTCCACTTTCCCCACGATTCCCAAGGCGGTTTCATCCTTATCATTTAGCTGTCGTGAGGTAACTTCTTTCATCATCACTTTTACTCTTACGCTTTAATCGAAAACTTTCTCTTCTCTTTCTTCGCCGATTTTCTCTTTGCCGGATTTTAAATTTCTCATATTCTCCGATGACTTCTGATTCCGAAAGACCCGAATCTCCGTCATTCGACGATAGGCGCCCTAGTAATGACGAATGCACTCGCCCTAATGATATTGCCGGTCCGCACTATAGATCCACTTGTACTCTTCAATCCCTCGAGCGGTTGAGAGAGCTTTGCAGGATTCCGTCGGTAATTATGGCGGAAGCACAAATAGCTGCCCCCACAGAATCCCCAGAGAACCATCGCGATGGTTACTTCTGTGTGTACGAGATTTATTTCAAGGGTTGCGGATTAACCTTCCCGCTTCCCGAAGCCCTAGTTCGATACTTGGCGGTTCTCGAGATCGCTCTTCCTCAATTGACCCCCAATCTTCTCCGAACAATACTTGGAATTATAACAGTAGCGGCGGAAGCCGGATACGTTATAGGGGTCCCCGAGTTGAATGAGCTTCTAAGCGTGAGAAGTTCATCGAAGAAGACATGGTATTTCTCGGCATACCCTAATGCTAACAGGAACGTCATTTCACCCTTGGTTCCTGATTAAGAAAACCCCTGCTTCGATTGGAAGTCTGTCAGATTTACTTCCATCGAAGTGGTCCGCGAAACCTGGTAGAAATTAGGTCGCATACATTCCTCCAATTTTATTATTCCTATTGATTAAACTTGTTATTTTCACTTCGCAGCTTTCGTCGCTCCGACTTTACCAACTGAAGAATTCATTGGCTTCTTCAAAATAATCCTCGAAGGGGAAACCCTTTGGAATTCTTTCACTCTCGATCGGTTCATAGAAGCCAATCGAAAACTTAGGATGAGCCCTCCCAACCATCTTCATCGTCTTCCGCCTCCTCCCTCAACCCAGGGAATGTCAGCTCGGGCTCTCACTGCCCAGCGAAAAATGATCTCCAAGCCGATGGCTGAGGCTTGCGACGAGAACAAGGCGTTCCTTGCGACCGCCATTGACAAAAAAGATTATAGCAAAACCTTACTGGTTGACGACGGTAGCACCGAAGGAGCCAGATCTGTCGCCGTTTTCAGATTGACACCTCGACGTGAACGTCGCGATGACCGTCCTCCCCGGAGGCTTCAATCTCCTAACCGTGATTCTCATCGTTCTTCCTGGGATGACTTTAGCAACGAACCGCAGTGGTTCTTCTCCGCGAAGAGAGAAGTCAAGGGCCCGGACTAACCGTTCTCCTCGATCGTCCCCTCCTACTGAACCAATGGGTCCGCCTCGTCCTGTCGATATGTCTTCATCTTCTCAACATAGCGGTGAGAAGACGAACCTGGGTGCAGCTTCTCAGAAGGATAGTTCTGAGTCTTGAGATGATTCTCCGAAGACAAAGCCTGCTCTTGTTCCTCAGTCAAATCGCTCTCAGGTATGACGATACACATGTATTCTTTTCGTCTTGTACTTATTTTGAATTTCTAAGACCTTTCCTCTTTCGCTTTCGTAGCCATGGAGAAAGAAGGTAACGTTTTTCGGTGCTTCAAAACCCGGTCAGGTGCGATCCTGCCGGAATTCAACAAGTGGCGCTCTGCAATTCGTGAACGATACCTAATTCATGCTCATCATTCATCTCGGGTTAGTTCCGCTTCAATTTCTGACTTTACCGTCATTTTTCGAACTGATCCGTCATTCCGGGTTTATGTGTAATATCAGGCGAACGGCGAGCTCAATGACATAATTGAACATTACGAAGGGTTGGTCATTGGTCGGGAGAAAGAGATCGACACGTGGAAGGATAAGTTTTCTAATCTCGAGGTTGACCTCCGCTCCTCTACCGACTCCAAGCATGATTTGGAGGACAAGGTTGATGGTCTATCATCCGAGCTTGCGAAGATAAAGGGGGAGCTACAGGACCAGTACGACCAAAATTTCAAACTCCAGGGCGAGCTTTCTGGTGTTCAGGGTAGACTTCATGAATCCGAATCAACCGCCGACACCCTGAACAACCAGCTTATTGAGCTTAACGCAAAGTACAAGGCGATTGTCAAATTGCGTGACTCCGAGTTGGCGAGGTCGGCATCAAAAGCCAGAAAGGAGGGTAAGGGACGCGGGATGGAGTTGATCCAAGGGGCCATCCGATTCATGCAGACCGAGAAAGCTAGGTCAGATTTGGAATCAGACATCAAGGAGCACGAGAGCAATCTGATCTTGTTGGATCAAATCCATGATACAGATTTCTCTGAGGAGCAAGAGAGGACCGAACTGTCGGCTAATCTTTCTGAAAAGCGGAGTCGCTTGGCAGCTCTTCCTACTTCGACCTTCAACCCGCAGGACTTTGAGGAATTCTTCACTGAATCGCCTCCTATAAGTGAATCGGGTCTAGACTGGGCGGGTAATGCTTGGCTCCTGACACTTATTACCTTTTCCTCACCTTATGTGTTTTTTTTAAAAAAGTTGACTGGAACTGTCCTTCCCAGGTTTAAGTGAGGCGGAGGATGTCGTCCCACCCGAAGTACCTGCGGCACCGGCGGTCACTCCGGAGGATGGTTGTAATGTAGAGGGCGGACCAAGAGCTCCATCTGACCAAGCACCAGTCAAGGAGGTGAATGAAACTTCGGTTGCTGAGCCGGGGTCCGAGGTGGATATCACTCCGTAGTGGCTGCGTCCACTTTGAATTGGGAATTGTCCCATTAATTTTAAGACTTAATTTCGAACTTGTTTTTGCCTAAGGAGGCTTTATTATTTCTTTTGAACAAGATATTTGCCTGAGGAGGCTTTTAAACCTTTCTAGGTTATGACCCCAAGGGGGTTTGGTTAAAATTATATGCGGGTTTGCAAAGTCCGCTTTTAACCTTTTGTGGCCTTGTGGTTATGCTTTTGAGATTTTTAGGCTGATCAGACCTTTCTCTTTAGAATGCGAAAACTGAGCTCGGCTTAAAGCGAGTTCCCCACTTCGGGTTTAGTCAACTCGACAAATTTATTGGGCTTGGGCCTTAGAAACATTTGTAGTTAATGCGACTGTTGCTCTTTCCCTTCTTATAAGTAAGGAAAACGGCTCGTCTTTAATGCAATAACTGTCTTTTCTCGATTTTCCAAAAATGGTTTAAACCACTCGGACACTCTACCTTTATTGGATTTATGGTTCCAAGACAAACCCTAAATTATTATAAATAAAGGCTTACCTACCTCCAAGCTTTATTTAACTACGTTTTTAGAATCTTACTTGAGTAATATTGTGAGAATGGAAAACGAAAAAGTAGCCCCCGTTGATCCCGGCAGCCCACTCTTCTTGTCCGGTGACGGTTTTGAACCGGCCGGCGTTCTCTTCCCTCACGCCGTCTTTCACTTTCCTTCAAAGGAGAAGAAAGAGGCTTGCGACTTTATTGACAAGGTAAATATTTAAAGTTTTTGATTTAAAAACTTTTTGTTTTATCTTATTCATTCATCTTTATGCTAGGTTGCCGACAAGCACCGTCGCTTGTGTGAAGAGAGGCAGCGGCTGGGCCTCAAAAGGCAAACACTCGAGGCTCGCATTGCTCGGGTGGAGAGGAAGATACGGGCCTTGGAAAGTGATCCCTTTCAATGGGAATGGCGGAACTTTGACTCTGTCGCTGAGATCCCGAAGATGCTTCGGATGTATCTCCGCGCTAAAGGAGTCCCGGGTCCCGTGAATGCCCCCGTCTGCGCCGTTCCATCTGACAGCGAAGAAGAAGACGAAGAGGAGGCCAGCACCTGTCGGAAACGCGTTCGGGATCATCCCGAAGTGGATGCCAAGAACAAGGCGTCCACTTCGAAGATTAAACCGGCGATGAAGGAGCCTGTTCCTGAGCCTCTTCCATAAATGTTCTTTATCTTCTTCCCTTATTTTAAACTCGTAATGGGCTTCGGCCCCTTTTTATTTATGGAAACATTTGCAACTTTCCTTTCTTTTCAAATATTCTCGGAGATGCGTCTTTTAATGCAGGATCTGTTCGAGGGCATAAATCTCTCCGCGAATCACTCCATTCTTAGGATAGAATCCGTAGCTTGCTAGGGATATGACGTTCCTATAAATTATAGTCTCAATTTCCTTTTACTCCTCACCATTCTTTTCATTTTAGTAGGTATGGAGTTCAATCTTCGCTCTTCAGAATCTATGCCCGACTTCTCCAGAATCGGAATGATAAACGAAAATGTTCCAAATGAGCCAAGCAGGCAGCCTCCTCCACTTCGCGGCCTCTTGAGATCTCAGATCCGAGCCCCATGTGCTTTGATCAGGGATCTCCCAATCAGAGACCAAGGAACAGCGACGGCGTTCATAGAGGCACTCGAGCTTCAACATCGGAAGCTTATGTTGGAAAAGAGGAGACTCCGGAAGAGGATTAACCGGATGCAACGCAGGCTTACTACGGTGTCAAGAGATCTTCACATCCTTGAATCTCACCCCGGAGAGTGGATTGAGCTTGGAATCTCTGACTTTGCTCGAATTCCGGACTGCATGATGCCAATCCTCGATCTTGCTGGTCAAGGAGTTGAAGTGTTCTGCTCGTCAACAAGATTTTCATAGTCCGAAGTGTACGATGAGGGACATTCCGTCTTTTGAATAAACGTTCTATTTCCAATTTCTTGTATGTTCGCTTAGCCGAACCTTCTATTTGCTTCACTTGTTCGCACAGTCGAACCTTTTTCCTTTAATAAAGAAATAAAACAAATTTTTACTAATAGCTGAACTCGTTTCCAAGCTGCCTACGTACCCATTTCGGGATCAAGCCACACCGTAGTTCATGTACAAAAACAATGCATGTAGCTTTAAACATAAAATTTCTTTAGGTTGATCACATTCCAAGGTCGCTTGACCGGATTGTCTTCTAAGTCTTTCAACCTATAAACACCGTTCCGAACCACTTCGGTAATAATGTAAGGTCCTTCCCAATTAATACCGAGTTTACCGGCGCCTTCTTCTTTTTTGTTGTCAAAGACGCGCCTTAATACATAATCTCCCACGAAGAACGGCCTACTTTTAACCTTAGAATTGTAATACCGGGCTGCTGCCTGCTGGTAATTCTGGATCCGAATTAGAGTTTGATCACGCCTTTCATTTATGGTATCTAGTGAATCATTAAGCATTGCTGAATTTTCTTCCTCATTTAACGGTGCTTCTGTTCGGCGAAGTCCGGGCACGTTGAGTTCAGCTGGTACTACCGCCTCCATGCCATAAACCAAAGAGAATGGAGTTTCTCCTGTAGGTCGCCTAGGGGTTGTACGATAGGCCCACATGACGGGTTGGAGTTCCTCATACCATCCTCCCTTTAGATGACTTAAGCGTTTCTTGAGATTGCTTAATATTGTCTTGTTCGCGGCTTCAGCTTGACCGTTTCCTTGCGGATATCGTGGAGTAGAATAACTAACTTTGATTCCCCAGTCCGCACAAAAGGCATCAAACTCGTGTGAAATGAATTGTGGTCCATTATCAGTGACTATTTCGTATGGAACTCCATGTCGACATATAATGTTTTTCCAAATAAAGGTCTTCACCGCCGAATCCTTGATACCAACATACGCCTCAGCTTCAATCCATTTTGAAAAGTAGTCCGTAAGGACTAAAAGGTACTGTACAC